ACCCATCCCTTTAGTTACCTTAGGACCGAACCTTTTGGCAGCCTTAAATCCGGATTTCCCTGGGTTCCATGGCATGTTCTGAAACCAATATACTTCAAGCATAATACCAAACTAGATATAAACTAATCGTATAGGCATGCAGCATAAATAAGCAAATAAACCCAAAAAAAAGCCTTAAATTATGATCAAATACCAGGAACACCCACAATTGCAACTCAAAATCAGAAGTGAATTTGAAATGTTAAGAGGGAAAAGGGGAGCAAAAGACCCCATTTAAAGTTAACACCATTATTATTAAATAACATAAACTGGATGGGCACTACAAGAAAACTGACTTTTCGCGACGCCAGAATTGTGCTGCAAAAAGTCAAAAAATCGCCGCGAAAACCTTTTTGCGGCACAAATGTGACGGAATTAAATTGTGTCACAAAAGTAGCCGTTACAAAAGAGAACAACACAATTTTTCAATATGTCTCATGTATTTGCATCGCTCTTTGCGATGCCAATTTGAATGTCACCACTCTACTTGCGGCACAAAAAATGCGCCACAAAATGTCCACAATGTCATGCGACAAAAACTCACGTCGCAAAAAGTCACCAATATGAAGGCCAGAAATCAATTTTTTCATGGTACAATAATTATCATGCTCAAATATCCTAAAATCGAATATTATAACAAAATATAGTTCCACAATACAGGAGAATAAAGTATCATACATTGTTTTAGTCAAATTCTACAAACTTTATCATTTAATATTGTTCGCTCCAATTACAAGATGTTTCATATATTCCAAAATGTGCTTGTCTTCAAAAGTACAACACTTCATCATACATCTCTTAAAAACATCTTCATATTTCAAAATCCTGAAATAACACAAAAATATGGTCATAACCATTCCTGAATTCCCTATAGATCTACATTCAATAAAATTCATTTCCAAATTAGGGAGAGACAATATCCAGTACATGATCATCGGTATATAAAGACAATATCCAGTTATATATTTATGCTAAGAGAGTACCGGCACTTATACAAAAAGAAATTCAAAGACGTCCTGAAACAAATTACATTGACCACCTTGCCACAACAAGCTTGAATATGCACATTGGACTCATCAGACTTGATAATGAGAGATACCATGGGAGCTACCCCTCCTAAGTCCTAAGTCAGTTAATGTAGCGAAAATAGAAGGAAATAGAAAGGAAAAGTTAAAAAAGTTTGCCCTTTAAGAACTGCACAATTATAAGTAGCTAACAGGAGCAATCCATGTCTTTATCTAAGTAGATCATTCTTGCACAATTTTAAGCATAGGAAATTATATCGACAGCAAAATAAGTATATTCTTAACGAGTAAAATTGATCTTCTATCACAAGCATAAAAAGGGTATCGATTGATTGGAAGCTAAGCAAGAAAGAAGAATTTGAAAAGAAAAATTGCTTTGGGTTGCTTTACATGTTTCTTGGATATGCATTTTGCTAGTTGTGTTGAACAAGAGTTCAACTACAGTCTAAAAAGGAAACGAAGCATATAAGATGAAAACAATATCATCTTTGCACCTTTGTCACTGACACTGTTGTCGGCGTGATATTGAAGAATAAAGAAGTTAAAATTTCTCTTCTTTAATTGCGATTTATATTTAGGGTTTTGGTGGTTGTTGTGTTTTTTAAAAGGAAACAAAATGTGTTTCCATTTTTGCCCTTGAAATTATGGACATGTGAGAGAGGCATGTGTTTTTTGAATGGTAAAGTGAGCAAAAACGAGCTTTGAGAGCAATTGGGTAGACTTTTATATATCTTACAGATTATTGTGTCTAATTTTAAATATGAGGGGCTAAAAAGTTTTTTCTATTAATGTGAAGGACCAATTTGGCAAATTTTCCTATTACTTTTAAGCCATTTCGATGACAGTAATTTCTTTTGTAATGTATAATAGTTTTTTTTATGAGGATATAATATTTAAAGTGTCAATGCTTTTAAGTTGCTGTTTGACAAAATTGAAATTTACAAAGGCTTTGACACCGGCTCAAGGTTGTACAACTTGTGCCCTCTCGTTCTATCAATTGCAACTTGTGTGCTTTCTTTTCTATCATTCATGTGTGAGCTTAAGTGTTTCTAAATTTCTAAATTTTCAGTAAGTGTTAGACAAAATTGTGGATTCATTTTGAACGCATTTTAAACGTGTACAATCCTCAATGAAGTTTGAAGACAATAATTCCTCTCATGATATCGATCAACTCTAAATTACTTTGGGTGCGCATTTGTTTCCATTTAGGAGTCAAAGTTGGATGGGAACAGATACTACACTTGATCTTTGCCAAAAGGCTGATAAAGGTATAAATTGGATGGGAGCGACATACTAGAGAATCAGCATCGGTTTTATGATTTATCAAAGCCAATATGGAGCAGAGTTTCTATCAAGAATTGTATTACGTTTGTCTCCATATCATGGCCTTCCCCTTATTATATTTATAGAGTAGAGTTAACAGTGGATTTAGCAAGTGTAAAAAAGGTGGTAAGTTATCTTGATTAGTCATAAATTCTAGTTATACCTTATAATCAACTAGGAAAATTCTATACTGAGCGAGTGACATTACATTACATTACAACTAAGCGACAATAAAAACAAACAAATTAAAGGATAACCCATCTTCTTGATTTTAGGAATTCTTATGTTTGTGTTTATCGTTTAGTAATGTTATCATTTATAGTCACTTTTTGTAGATGAATTCAATCAACAAGTTCCAAAAAAAAATGAAAATTTTACAGTCTTAGGAACTAAATGTAGTTATTTATTTAACGACAAAGAGTAGGGACATTTGTCAGAAACATCCGTCCCACACAATGTATGACCTAAAATAAGCCAATAATGTTAAATTCAAATTGTATAGAAGAGATAGCGTCACATAATTTGGGCACAACAAATATGTAAGAACCCACACAAACAACGGTACCCAAATATGGGGGAGAGTTGAATTGAGCGGTAAGATGGAAAATGTTGTAAGCTAGAAGTCTTGAGGAATTCATGAATCAAGGAACTATCCTTTCGGTCATTTGGACATTTGCATAGGGAAGAAGTGAGAAAGGCAAAAGAAGACTACACTGAACAGCCGTACCAGCACATGCAGGTTGCAAGTCCTCTCGCTTAAAAAAAAAAGAAAAACAAAACCTGCACCTCTAAAAGTATTGAAGGAGATTTTGTTTGCTGTGAATTATATAATGTATTGAAGGAGATAACCTACAATGTGCTACATCACAACATCACCCCATTTGGCAAGTGAGTGTTTTGGGTGTTTGTCTAAAATTTTAGTGTAGTTCACTGTAAAAGTTTTTAAAAAAATTTTTGATGTGTGTTTTTTTTTTTTGAATATTTTGAAGTGTATAGTTTAAAAACTTTGAAAAGTTTTTTAAGGTTATTGTAGTTAAAGTTTTTAAAAAACTTGTAACAGACAAACTTGGCAAAAAACTTGGCTCCGTTTGGATTAGCTGTTTTTGGGGGGTGTTTTTGAAATATTTTATTGTAGCAGTGTATATGAAAAATTTCTGCTATAAAACTTTTTTTGAAATATTTGATATACTAATATGGATGGGATGTTTTTTAAATTATTATATATTACTGTAACATTGTATTTGAAAAACTTATTTTTTTGAAAAAAATAACCAATCCAAATGCTTATCTGTCAAACAAACAAGGCCGTAGTATCTCATGGACTTTTTCTTTTTCTTTTTCTGTTATTTCTACAGCATGGTAAACCACATAGTAAAATGACCCATCATTCAAGAACAGGAGCACGGACCACAATGCCCCTCTCCCTAGCCGAGTTTTGGTTTGATTATTTCAGGTAATTAAAGAATTAAAAGCCACTGGCCATTTGGTCCAGTGGTCATCACTCTATTGAGTGATGCTGGAGGTCAGGGGTTCAACCCCTACCTCCTACAAACTTGCCACCTTACGTGGCCGGTCTTCTGCCCCCACGGAATAACTTGAACGATCCGCTCTCCCTCCTTAGGGTATGGTGACCTTCCTGATTTATTCAGGATTCGAGTCCCATTGTTAATGTGCTCCGTGTGGAGTGGGGTCTCCTCTTCCGGGCCGCAGGGGATTAGTCGGGTCCTGTAAGGATTAACCCGGACACCCTTGTGTTGACAAAAAAAAAATGTAATTAAAGAATTAAAAAGACAAACTACTAATTTGGCAGCCTCTAAATTCTGATTCCCCGCCTCCATATTTCTTCTCCGTCCTCCTCTGCAGGTAACTGACCAACGGGTACCTGAATTCAGATACCAGTTCTTTTACATCTAATTCTTCTTGCTCTTTTTTTTCTTTTTCTCTTACTGTGGTAGAAATCAAGAGCGATGAGCCAAAAAGAAAAAAAAAAAAGCTATCGAATAATTGCGATAGCTGATTTTTCCCTTAAGATATTCGACTCGTTCTCAATTCATTTAGACTTGTTCGTTTGTTAACAGTTCATTCGAAATTTTATATGAGTCAAGTTCAAACAAATATTTTGGCTCGATAAGTTATCAAACGACAGGAACTCTTTCGCGAATTTAAATGATTGTTACGAATATGGGTCTAATTGTCATTTCACAAAATTTATAGTGCATATTGTACTCCTAATTCCTAATTCCAGGCTTAATCATTCGCAGACATGGGCCTAATTGTTTGCGAATGGTTCGTTTATGGTAAACAAGTTGAGCTCGAATTCGAATTTATACTAGAATTTTGCTTAACAAGCCCACTACGAACATATATTTAGAGCTCGGACAGTATCGAATGAACACAACTTGTTTGAGTAGATTAATGAACATGGCTCAACATATAAAATACTCGTTCGACTCGATTTGTTTACAATTCTAAAAGTAAGGGAGATAAGTGATATTTTTAAACATTTAGAGGCACTAAGTGATATTAAGATAAACCTCGGGGGAGGTTTCTGATATTATTTCAAATTAGAAATACAAACTATTAATTTCACTTGCTCCTCTAAATTCTCATTACTCTCCTCCATATCTCTCTACCCTTCTCTGCAGGTAACTGACCAACGGGTGCCTGAATCCAGATACCAGTTCTTTTACACTAATTCTTCTTCCTTTTTTTTTTTTCCTTTTCTTTGCCGTGGTAGAAATCAAGAACAATGAGCCACAAATATAAGCTATTCGAATAATTGCGATAGCTGATTTTTTCCTTTTTTTTTTGTTGGGTATGCAGGCATGGAAGAGCAATTTATACTTCGGCTTCCACCTTCGGTAGCTGAACGGATACACCGGCTCTTGAGCGAAAACGCATCTTCGTCTTCTGATGACAAGTCCTTGGATTTAACCTTTTCCGGTGAGCGACTTTTTTTTTACCATCTCTATTCTTAAATTTGTGTTCATCAATTGAGAGTTTATATAAGAAGCGTCAAGAAAGGATTTTGATTAGGAATAAGTGCAATTTAATTATTTGGTTTGACTAGTTTGTATAGAACCTCTACTGAACATTGTTATGCTTCTTCTTTGTTCGGATTAAGGCATGTCAATCATGGTTTTGGAGCTTTTATAGTTTCTGCTCGCTGCTGATGTTGCTTCTGCTGGTGCAGCTGAGCTGCTTGTTCCTTCGTTTTTGTAGTGTTTATACTTTATTTCGATCTATTGTTCCCTGATGTTCACCAATGTCAGTGTTGGCACTGTTTAATTTACTCACACCTGCATGTATATTTCATTTGGTTTTTTTCATGTTTTTGAATCTCACAGCGTGGTTGATTGGTTCGCTGAACAATGATTTGAGTAGTCTTTTTAATCTAAAAGATGGTCACTTATTTGCCACTTGTATCTTCAAAAGGGATTGTTTATCTACCTCAAACTTGGTTTAGTCGTCCTTTATACAATGTGTATAATGATTCTTTCCTATTGGCTTCCAGCTTATGGTTGTATAATCCCATTTAGTTGCTTGAGCTTTTGGTGATTTCTTTTTTTTTCATCAGTGTCCTTGAGCATCCTAGTAGATAAGGTTACAGAAAATCAGAGAATGGCAGATGCAATGTATGTTAGGATATTTTTGGACCTTCTTTTAATTGCTGCTGTTCCTATTGGTCTCAAGTTATAAGTCTTTGGAAAAAATTTGCTAGTTAGGAGATTAAGGAACTTGTTCTGTACATTCATCCGGCCACCAATTGCTTCTGACTCTTGGCTCTGTTCTCTGTTATATCGCTTTCTCTTCAGAAATTGAGGCTCAACTAGGCTTCTTTTTCTTCTATCCCTAGCCTCGCTGATTCTCTTGAACGATGCATGATATCTTTTCCGTTTTGCTCTTTCTCTCTCTCTCTCTCTCTCTACACACACAGAGACGTATATGGTCCACACTAAATTATTTAACTAGTAACCTGATCTGGAGCGGTGGTTGTTCTTCTAGGATCTTGTTCTTATATTGAAGTGTGCCCTTGACCATTTTTTCTAAACCTTTTTGGAAAGTGGGAAGCAGGAAAGCGAATACACATGATGTGCAACTTAAACTGCCATAAACAGTCTCAGTTCAACTGAAATAGGATTCATGTCTTTTCAGTGAAGATCTCATCTGTGTTAGAGATGTTAAAATGAGAATCTGGTTACAAATATGCAAATCTTTAACCCCCAACCAGTTTTTACGGGACAATGTTGGGAGGATGGAATAGTAATGTAATCAGATTACCAATATGAGGTTCATTTGGTAAAGGAGTATGAGCCAAGGAATGGGTATATATTTAAATGATGCATATTGTTGGTGCTTGGAAGGATTTTATCTGAATTGGTATGTTGCTTTCATTTCCTGGACATATGTAAATGGGGCAATTTCGAAATTTATCCCATACTTGATGTCGAAAGACTAATTTTACAAAGAAAATACATGGATAAAATACAAAAGGCAGTCAGAAAAACAGCATTTTCCAATTTCCATCATCCTTGTGGCTGTGAGACAAATCCTTTTCCATCTGTACTCCTCACTTTATGCCCACAGCCCCTGTAATCTCTATCTCTCCCTCCCCCTCTTCTGCTAGCTCTAGCTCTTTGTCTTTTGCTTGTCATAGCTCTTCACTAGTTGTGACATTGCTGTAGTGACCATTGATATTTTGCTTGAAAAGATGCAACAGTTCAGTAGATTCTCAATTTATGTAACGGAAGAAGCATTTTGATATCTACAAATAAATTTGTTATTTTGGATGTCGGTGGATCTAACATGGGTTGTGATTCAATCTTGGGACTTGGATTATTTTGTTTGTAGTTTTTTGTAGTCTTTTGGAAATTGAATGGATGTAGGAGGTCTAGGGAGCTGAGTGGTGTTTATTTTTTGTGTAGTATGGAGGTTGAAGAGGCGTGGTTCATCCTTGGCATTATTGTTAGTCTCTTTTATATGATTTTCAATGACTTCTCTTTGATTGTTTTTCACAAAAAGGAGTTGAATTGTGTAAAATTGGCCTCTTCAGATAGCTGTGGTGGTTGCTGGTGGTAGTCTCGCACTACTTGTGGGGAGTAGGGGAAGGCAGACTGGTCATTGCTACTGGGAAAGGGGAGAAGGAAGAAAAATGGTAAAAGAATTAAGAAATAGGAGTCATAAAGGAAACTTTTCAGGGGGGGAAAAAGACTTCAAACCAATTCCTAAATTTTCAATCAAATGCTTTGTTGGCTTTGATAACACCAATGCTGATTCTCTAGCATATCACTCCCATCCAATTTTGACTCCCAAATGGAAACAAATCAACCCCTAAGGTTAATTCAGAGTTGATTGATATCATGAGATGAATCATTGTCTTTCAACTTCACTGAGGGTTATACACGTTTAAAATGCGTTCAAGTGAATCCACAACTTTGTCTAATCATGAACAATGAGGTTGAAACATTATTTATATGTCAGTCCAAGTAATCACACAAATTCAAGATTCTGAATGTAACAGATGAAATTGCATCTGAATGAACACTTTCTGTCGACTGTCCCAGCATGAAAAATTAGAATTGGACCACTTTAGACTTGGTGGACTAAAGTTAACGAATTTCTGTGAAATTTCATGAGTTACTATGGTTGTACATGTTATTGTTTGTTACACTGCCAGCATTTAAAAGTCCTCCTGAATCCGTAGTTGGTTGACATGAATTTTATTTTCTTCATCATTCTACTTCTTGAGGGCTTGATTGATATTTTGTAGAGGATGGGAGAAGTGGCACATTTTCAATAGGAAACGATCACTTCCCTGCATTTCTTTTGGATTTACCTGGCATTGTGGAGTCATACAAAACCTATGATGATAGCGTGCTGATTAAAAGTGCAGATATTGGTCAAGTATGCTGTCAGCTTGCCAATTATTGCTTTGTAACATACATGGCATCTGAAGAGTTCCTAGTTCAATTTTGTAAAATTTGTGATGTCTTGCAGATGATTATGGTGAAGGAGGAAGGTGACAGTGTTCCAGGTGAGGTGGAGTACAGACATGGCCTTACCCCTCCGATGAGGGATGCTCGAAGGCGAAGGTTCCGCAGAGAACCAGATCTAAATGTATGTGGCCTTGTGAACTGTCTCTTCTTCCAGTATCCTCTCTCTCTCTCTCTGTTACACACACAAAAAAATGCGCAAAACTAAGACATAGACACAAACAATGATACATTATGGCTGCAGTGGGTGTAAGAAAGGGACAGAAGTAGATGAGACTATCGCATGAATTTTCCATCAGATGCCATCACCTTACCTTTCAAATTTCTCCAAGAGTAAGCAATAACAGTTGATTAAAGCCTACAATGGGAAAAAACAATTTGTGAGATAGTGCTACGTAATGGCTTTTCCCATGCCCCTAGGTAGTGTTGTTCATAGGCATGAAGTGTCTATTACATATTTTGCAACTGTAGACATGTCTGCATGGGTAGGTATACAAGTTAAACATTGTGTGCTACTATTAAATTGGTATTTATTTGAGTGAGTTATGAGACGTGTGTCATTTTGCAGCCTGAGCTGGTCCGGCGTGCTGAGAAAGATTTGCAGAATATTATGGCTGGTGGAACAGCTGAGAATATTGATATCCTTCCAGTTATTCTGGCTTTCAGAACTTGAAGTAGTCAGCTTTTATGGATTTATTGAGACTTTAGCTACGTATTAAATTTTCTTTAGTTCATACTGGCACAGATGATCGTGTTGTTGTACTTGCATATTAGAATCTTAACTTGTCAAGATGACTTTTCATTCTTCTGGCTGTTGGTCCAATCTCATACTTTGTTTTGTTCGTTTCACTGTTAGATGTAGCAGGGAGGTCATGCGCATCAATTGAAGAAGGAATTCAGAATTCCACCTTCTTTTGATATTTACAGTTGTGACTTGAGATGATTGTGGAATTTTAATGGATACTGTGAAGCTGTGCATTCCTAAGATAGATTTTCTTCATAGTGTATAATTTTATTGTTGTTATTCCTTGACAAACTTACATGTTGAAGCCATTGAGCATGAGGAAGATGGTGAGGAAAATGCTCGTAATGTAAGTAAGAAGGTGGAACCTAAGCCTCCAGAGAAGCCTGACATACCTGAGGCTGGGACAGCTGGTGGAGAGCCAGACAGAAGCGATTCTGATGAGTCTGATTATTCAATATGATGGAGGTCCTTTATTTAAACTTGAGTATCTGGTTCTGCTGGGTGGTTAGACCTACTATTTGCAAATTTAACTTTGTAAGGTCATGGTTCGTCAACAAAACTTTATGTCTAAGGGTTTATAGTTAAAGGAAGTTTAGTAGTTTTATGTGTGTGCCCTGTTTGGATCTTGTTGGTATTGATAGCCTATTTGAGATTCGACATTTCTGTGGTTTTTCAAACATTGGATAGGTTGTATATATCAATACACTAATTAGATCTAATGAGCGGGCAATCTTTGTAGTAATTGATAGTTTGGTTTCTGGGAGTGCACAATATACAGATTAGGGACTCCAAACTTCAGACCCCATAGTGTATATGCATGCACCATTCATAAATTCATTTCAAACTATCTTACCAGAGTTCTAGATGTATTTATTGAAAGGTAATCTACAATCTGAGATTAGTGGAAGAGAAGCGAGTTGATATATATGATTGTGGTTTGAACAAAATACTTCCACCAAAGGTCACAGTACTAAACTTTGTTCAATCTGGAAATGATCTTAACTAGGGATTTGTTATTGGTTTGTCTGCAGGATTATTATAATAAACTTGCTGTTTAGTGTGAAATATGATTGTGGAGAACATATGAATATGATGATATGATGACTGAGGATCTTAATGTTCGAGTTTATGGATATGCCTCCTCCAGATGTGCCTGTCTTTTGGTCCTTTTTGTGCCATCTTTCTTCCATGAATTCCCAAGAATTAAATCTGTAGTGGCTGGCATGAATTGTTCATCAATAGTATCTGTTACAAACAATTAGTCAGGAAGCATAAGGATGCTGTAGCCTGTGGGCTGATGTCATCTTTGTCTTTTCTTTATATTGGCTTGTGTGATAATGCCATTTTTATTTCTTTACCTTGGTTTCTCCATCTGCATTTTGGGAATCTACCTAAATATTGGCTTATTTCTAGCTAAGAATTTCGGCTGTAATTGCTTAAGAAATCCTAGAAGATGGTGAATGAAACTTTATGTCACTTCAAACAAGACCTTTTGACTCTCTTAACATCTCTATATTGTAAGAATCATATAAGAGATTTAAGTAGCCTTGGAACAAAGAACTTAGTCCTTTTTTTTCTCTCATTAGGGGAGAAAGTCTTGTAAAGAGGAACTTGGAGAAATACTTCATTGTACAACTCATTTTGGTGAAGAAATAGAACATCTTGGGAGCTTGTTCATCTAAGCTTTTCTCATTTTTCTTTACTTGTGATTCAATATGAGTTCATGCAATGAATCTATGAGCTTTATTGTCTTATTTCTTATTTTGAAATAAATTTTTAGATCTAGGGAGTAGATGAAACTTTTGGTACTATAATATGAGTTGAATGTAATTTATATTTGTTACGTCTTGTATTAACTTGTCTATTTATACATTCTTATTATTTGTTGGTATTAATCATCAATAGCAAGTTTTTAGTTATTGTTGCTCAATGAAAAATAGGTAATAATGATGGAACAAGATAAATGGAACTTAAGGAGTAGGCTCACGAGAGTAGAGGTACACTTAAGTGGATTTTTCTCACCATTTCATGTAGCTGAATGACTAGATTTAGTTCTTTACCATGAGAATAGAAAAGACTAAGCTAGTTTAATCCACTACATCATGAGAATGAGATTTGGCAATATTGGAAATGAATCTCTAATTAAATAAGAATAGTAATAAGAGGTAAAATTCATGCACTTGTATTTTTGGACCATTAGTAGATTCTACACCCTAGAACTTGGATATTTAGTGAATTTTTTCCAAGAGTTTCTCTCTATGAGTTTGTTGGTTAAAAGTTAGTAAGTGATTTGGTTGCTTTTTCTTGCTCTTTATTTGATATTAGTCTAAATAATAAGGTAAGTTAAGAATCTAGTACTTGTATATTAGCTCCTCGTGGGATCGACCCGAATTATTCTAAACTATTAAGTTGGTCTACATACTTGCAGTAAAATGGGCATATTTTGGAATTAAACTTACACATATATCTAAATCCCGCCAGACACAGAACAATTCTTCATTGGTCTTATCAATTTCAAGACAAAGAAAGTGCTTTACCTCCCCGATCTCTTTCATTTGGAAACGTACAAACACCTATAATGATTAAATCATCAACATATACAAGGGCAATAGCTGACAACCACTGCTAGCTTCATGAACATATTAGAATTTGTAGGTGCTACAGAATATCTACTTTGAAGTAAGAACACAGCTATCTTGCCATACCATACTCTTTGTGTTTACTGTAATCCATACAAACTCTTCTTCAATTTGCACTTGTAACTTGATCGGATTGTGTCTTCAAACGTCTGTGGTTGATCCATATAGATTTTCCGATCTAGTTCTCTATGAAGGAAAGCATTTTTGACATTCACCTACCAAAGCTTCGATGACTTGCTGGTTGCAAGTAATGACGGGACTCGAAATGTGGTCAACTTTGCTACTGGGCTAAATATTTCATCATAATCTAGCCCATATTTCTAAGAAAATCCATGAGCAATGAGGTGTGCCTTGTACCTCTCAACTGAGCGATCTGAATGAGTCTTAACTTGGTAGACCCATTTGCAAGAGATAGGTTTGACATCCCTTTGTTTGAAAAAAGATCCCAAGTCTCATTTTGTCTAAGTGCTTGAATCTCTTTCTCCATGGCTGTCTTCCACTCAGTACTTTGAACTGCCTCCTAGTAAGTAGATGGTTCAACTACTCCATCATCTTTTGTCAAAGCTACATTAGTGTATCTGATATTTGGCTTCTTTTGTCTAGTTGATCTCTGTAGTTGTATAGATGAAGTATCATCACATTCAATCTCCTAGTATTGGCTTCGCCTTTCATCTTTTGGGGTTAGAGCTTACTCCTATTCACCAAGAACTTTCACTTTTCTCAAGTGAACAAACATTGGTTATGTCGTCAGCTCCCTCTTGATATGCGTCTAGCTTATTGGTTTCAGGTTGATCATTACATCTCTCTTGTAGCTTCTCTTTTAACTCCCGCGAGTCTAGCAATAATGTTGCCTATGGTGACCACTAGGATGATGCCTCATCAAGTACCATATTTTGTGAGACATAACATTTTCCAGTTGTGGAATCATAACACTTCCAGCCTTTCTGTTGATTATCATAGCCCATGAATATACAACGAATGGCCATCTTATTGAACTTGGGTCGTAGATGATCTAGCACAAATGCTATACTCTTAAGTGAGTAATATTAGGTTTAGCATTCCACAGTTTGTCAACTGGAGAAATAAAGCTTAACTTAGGCTGAGGTAGCCTGTTGGTTACATGGACTAACATTTTCATGCACCCAGGCCAAAAATGTAGACATACACTTTTGGCATGTAGCATGCTCCTGTAGATCTCTGTAAGATGTCTATTCTTCCATTTAGCTACTCCATTTTGCTAAAACATACCAGGACAAGTCAGCTGCCACCTAATCTTGGAGTCCTGGAAGAATCTATTGAACTCATCTGATGTTTATTCACCTCTGTTGTCTACGGCGCAGGTACCTTATCCTTTGGCCTATTTCTTTCTTGACCTTCTTCTTGAATTCTTTGAACTTGTTTAAGGCTTATAACTTTTCTTTCATAAAGTCAACCCAAACACATCTAGAATAATCATCAATAAAGGTAATCATGTACCTTATACCACTGATTGGTGGTTCTTTCACTCTACCAAACACATCTAACTGAATTAGCTCCAAAAGCACCTTGGTTCTGAACTTTGACTCCTTGTATGTAAGTTAATGAGCTTTTCCATGTTAGCAACCTACACAAACAATGTCTTCTCGGACACCTAATTGATGAAGTCCTCTAAGCATCGACTTCATCATCATGATCTTCAACTTGTGGTAACTAACATGCCCCAATCTAGCATGCCATAGATCAACTGTCTCGTTCTTTCTCATGTTATCAACATAGGCTTCTTGAGTTGACATCATATACACTGATTCTAATTGTTTCCCTTGCATGGTTGGTGTACCTATAACTTTTAGATGTTGATATACGTTGACATTATCTAGTTCGAGCAATGCGTAGTTATCGAAAGCTGTCAATTGAGAAACTGATAGTAAATTCTTCTTCATTTCAGGTATATGGTACACAAGGTGCAACTCCACATGTTAAGTATTGTATTGAGGTAGTATCACCATATTATCAATGTGAGTAATTGGTAATATGAAATTATCAGCTGTCACTACCAATTGGATGCCTTTGTACTCTGTCAAATTTATTAGCTTTTCTTTGTCTCCAGTCATACGGTTAGAACAACTAGAGTCAATAATCCAATTATCAATATAGATGACAGGTTTAGTACTTATCGCATGTAGCAAAATGTGAGCTCTTGCACTGCAAATGATACCTAGACATCCCAATCTTTATCAGTCTCATTCATTTTTTTTGGAGGATGTAGCAGCATTATCTTCTGCTGGTAGGGATCTACAAAATTTTGTGTGGTGCCCTTTCTTACCGCAATTGTAGCATTCATCGTTTCACCATTTCTAGTTGACTGGAGACCATTGACATCATTTGTTTTGGCCATTTGCTCCTTGACTCTGGCCAACTCCCTCTCAATTGTTGCTCTTCCACTTATTCTGCTACCATGGGCTCCACTTACCATTTGAGTTATTTTATTTATTCGCTGGTCTCCTATTTTCGGCTTGAGATCCTCTCTTTTTGGTAAAGAGAGCTTTTTCTTCTTCTTTGATAGATACTTTAGACATAGAGCTTCCTCATTGGCAAGTAAACCTTTCAACTCATTTAAGGTTGGCTTCTTGACCCAACCATAGGCAGTAATGATAAGACCCCTGTATTTAGGCCTGTCAACGGGTCGGGTCTAGACCCGGATCCGGACCGGATCCGTGAAATTATTGCGGGTATGGGTAGGGATTTAATTCCGTTTTCCGGATTCGGATCCGGATCCGTTTTGTCAAACAAAAAAACGGGTCGGATACGGAATATAGTATTCCGGCCCATATTAGACCCGGATCCGGATATAAATGAATTAATAATTTTAAATATATATATTTATCAATATAATTTGATTAGAGTGATGTATTTTAATAAAGTTAATTTGATTTCTTTTCTTATTTGGTTTTTTCTTTGCATTAGTTAAAAATTAGTTTACAAATATATTTTTTTTTCATTTTTATTAGAAATTATAAATTTTGCTAAATTTGTTCGGGTAGACCCGGATCCGGATCCGGAACATAGAATAAAAGACCCGTCGGGTAAACGGGTCGGGTCCGGGTCCGGCGTAGTAATTCGGGTCCGGGTCCGGAATAATGAATTCCGGCCCGGACCCGGCCCGTTGACAGCCCTACCTGTATTCCAGTCTTAAGGCATGGATAGCAATTCTCTGCATTTTGGTTTCTGTGATTGCATTTTAGGAATCGAATTTGGATATTTCATCACAAATTGATTTTACTTTGGAGAAATAATGAATTACTGTCATATTTTGTTGAGAAATAGACAATAATTCATTTTCGAGCTTTTGAAACTCCGCGTCATTCTTTGCAGAGAGTGCCCTGAGTGTATCCCATGCCTCTTTTGGAGTCCTAGCATCTTTGATCCGGTGTAATAAATCATCTTCCACAGCCATTGTTAAAGCACACAGATTTGCTAACTTTAACTTTCCACTTTTAAAGTAGCTCTGCCTTCGTTAGTAGTGATGTGTCATCTCCACCAACAACGAGCCACAAATCTTGTCCAAATAGGTAGAACTTCATACGAGTCCTCTAGGAACCATAGTTGTTGGAATTGATATTTAATTTATCAACATTTCCAACTGAGACAGCAACCTCTGTCATAGCTAATTTTTATGACTTACACTTTAGTAATTGTGTGATATCAAAAAATTTCACAGTGTTTCACTGTGCTTCTGGAGAATCTCTTCTCATATTGGCCCTGTGCGTGTACCTGCAAAATAAAGATTTTATCAAGAGCCGGTCCATAATAGACTTGCTCTAATACCAAATTGTTGGATTGTGCTGGGTTCTAATAATAAATTAATGGATTAAATCCACTAATAATGGAGGCAAATGAACAATTTTATCATTACTATATAAAAAGTACCATGAATGTTGTTACTCTGGAGTGTGAGTGTAAGTATTCTGATGATCTTAGTTTTGTTATTCCAATTATACCCTTATTAATTAATGATTGGAGTTTAACATTATGCTCTTCTTGATTTATTATGATAATTAAAAATTCATTATATCATATCTATTGATTTAAAAGAAAATAATAGTTGATGATAAGCATTAGAGACTGAGCAGGATTTGATCTTAGTTTTTAATTTTATCCAAAATACCATTCTCCCTAATAATCCTAATAATTAGATTTATTGCATTTTAATAATAGCAATAATAGTAGTTAGGAAATTATTGTAACCTTAATTAAATTTGAATTATGAAGACAATAAACAAACTATAACATTCCAAACCAATGTGTCTTTTTGCATTCTATTTTCAGTTTTTTATTCAATTAAAAATTATTAATTAGTCATAGCTTAAATACATTTTTAAGTCTTCAAAAATATTACTATTGATACAAAAACAAGGCACTCTTACGACAATAGAATCTTTGTTATTTCTGCTTTAAGTTAGATTTTGTCCAAAAAATAAAAAATAAAAGATGACAAACGAAAAAAAAAAAGAAAAACCCAATTATCTCTACCAATGAAATTTCAATTTTCAAAAAATGGAATAGTTAGATGGAAAAATTTATGTGTGGTGAATAATCATTTACACTCCATTGTTAATAGAATTAACATAAAAAATAATACAAAGAGTTCAATTTCAAAGAATATTCATCTCTTCTCTTTTTAAAAAACGGTGTATATAACTTCATATTGAAGAATTGCAAATTTAACTGACGTAACATGAAAACTAATACTGGAAAAGCATGCAACTAATATTTATGCAAACAATCATTTTTATTTTATTTTATTTTATTTTTTACCCTCCTATCTCTCCCAACACCCTTTTCATCCTCAACTATCACGCACGACATTCGAATTCTGAACTAGAAAGAATTCTAAGACACCTACCTTAACCACTAAGCCAACCCTAGTGATTGACAAACAATTAACTTTTGTTTAGCGTGCAAATTCAGATCATCCAACTTTAAAAGAAAAATAAAAAAAATTATTCATATATCTAATTAAAGATCATACAATTTTAGTGGTATTATCATAATCTGTGTGTCATGGAGAAAACAAACGAAGTAATTAGAAGTATCTATATTATACATACCATTCAAAATATTGATACTTTTGTCAAATCATTTCATATTTGGTCAAATCTTTATTTTTTAAATGTTAATTTTTCATCATCTTTCAGTCTTTAAAGCCATTATTTTAAATTGAAAGAGATTGAATATATCTTCATTTGTTAAAAATTCTCTAGAGATTTTATATGAATTTGTAGATATAACATGTTGTTAACTTTTTTTTTTTGTTTTTAAAATAATGGTTTTAAGGATAATTAATTAAAGAAGATAAAAAATTAAATAAAAAATAAACTATGCAAATATTAAATTTGTTAAAATAACTTTCATGAATAAATTTTAATGCATAAGAAACATATATTTTATGATATTATAATCACGTGCAAAGCACGTGACCTATTACTAGTTACATCCAAAGTGTATACAATAACAAAACTTACAAAATAAACTTGCACTAGACACTACTAATTAAATTAAGTCTCACTCTTGAAAATATTTGCTCTAATTTTATTAGAGCCTTATTCTAGAGATATCTGCTCAAACACTCACTAAACTACATTCTAAACACTAAAACACTCTTAAGAGTTTCAACTCTAATTGAGCTCTTCTTATTTTTGTCTGAGAATGAGATGCCAAAAATGGCAAATGAGCTCCCGATTTATCAACATAAGTAGATAACATGGCAACTCCATTCAGCCAGAATTTTCGTCGTCCTCTCACGTGCCCGGCATGTGGATTGGAATCATCATGTTGTTCGCGCATCGCGCGTTAGTTTTCCCATCTGCCCTCGCCTGCCAGTGTCCCATGTGCCCGTGCTTCCGTCTTTCTGTTCTTCTGCTGCATTTGCTCTCTTCCCGTTGCATTCTCTCTCCCACTACATTCTCTTTCTTTCTTTTTTTGGTTTTTTTTTTTGGGATAATGTTGCTCTATCACTTATCCGCATCCTCTGGAACCTGGTACAAAATTTTGTTGACCTCCTCCTTTGTTGTAATAGGCTTTCTTCTTCATCTCCGGTGAGGTCAGATCTTCTCTTCAGGTTGCCTCTGCTCTGCCCCTCTTTTTTTTTTTTTGCTAAAGTTCGTATTTCTTTTGTCCCTTGTCCACTGACGTGCAGTTTTCTGCTTTTTTTTCTCATCCACGGGCTTGTTACCGCCCAAGGACGTGCCATCTTCACTGTTGGTTGCAGATCTTGTGCTTTCTTCTTCCTCTCCAGTGAGGTCGGGTCTTCTCTTCAGGTTGCCTCTGTTCTTTTTTTTTTTTTTTTGTAAAAATTCGTGTTTTTTTGTCCCTTCTCCACTGACGTGCAACTTTCTGCTTTTTTTGCTTAGCCACAGCCTTCTTACCGCCCAAGGAGGTCCCATCTTCACTGTTGGTTGCAGATCTTGTGCCGTTCGTTTGGAAAAAACTTCGGTCTCCTCCTCCTTTGTTGTATTAAGCTTTCTTCTTCCTCTCCGGTGAGGTCGGATCTTCTCTTCAGGTTGCCTCTGCTCTGCCCCCTTTTTTTTTGGCTAAAGTTCGTATTTCTTTTGTCTCTTGTCCGCTGACGTGCAGTTTTCTGCTTTTTTTCTCATCCACGGGCTTGTTACCGCCCAAGGACGTGCCACTGCTATAATAGCGTCCATGTCGATTTCTGGAATTCAAGGTCAACCCCTGGAGATCACCGGTAGTATGAAAAGTCAATATGGAAACCTGAAGCCTGTTGCAGATAACATGAGTGTGGAAGTTGAAAAATCAGTGTCACTATCTACAGAATCTCATGTTGAGACTGATGCCACTGAAGACATTCTTGTCTGATTCTGCTTTTACTCAATTAAAAGAGTCAGAGACTGGGTTTCATCGCAAGGTACAAGATTTTATTTTTGGCAGTTGATATAAAGTTTCCCTAAACTGCATGATTTGCACTAACCTGCTACTTGCGATTGGTAGTCAATGCAAGAGCTGATTGGCTTATCATAGAAGTATTACAATGAAGTTGCTCTTCCTAAACTGGTAATAATAGAATATCTTCTTCTCCCTCTCTCTGGTTCTGTTTTAATTTTTTTTTTAACATAACAACCAAATTAAGTTTCCCTGGCATTTCATTATGCAATACAGGTTGCTGATTTTGGTTCTTTGGAACTCTCACCAGTGGATGGTCGAATGTTGACTGATTTTATGCATACAAGAGGCCTTAGGATGCGTTCTCTTGGACAAGTTGTAAGTGCTTCTCCTCGTTTGTTCTGGTTCTTGCTTCTATCTCTATCTCTCTGGTTCATTGAACTACATTTAATGGCACCTCTGAGTCCGTGTTCATATTTTTGAAAAAGTGCTTACATTTTTCTTTTCATCCTTGCAAACTGGATATGTTTTATTTGATTTCCATCACTAAAATCTTGAGAAAGTGGAACTTGAGGTCCATTGCTCTATGGTTGCTTGTTGGCATCAATATCAGTCTAACTTTCTTCGCTGTTGTGAATCTTCTATTTTGCATCTGATTTAATTTCAATATTTAAAAGATTAATCAATGGTTTAGCTGTGAAGTGAAGATCATCCTAACAATGTTAGTTATTCTAAGCATAAAACTATGAGAGTGTTTGCTGATACTTTTTGTTGGCTGATTTCAATTACCGAAGAAAGGAAAATGCTGTGTTTTTAGGATTTTATGGTTCTTAAGGTATTTAAACTTGCTGAATTGCTACTGGGTATTTTCCTTGGATTTCTTGTTGGATTATGCGTCTATTTGCATGACTGTTTTCAAATCACTTATTCTTAGGGTGAGGATTACTAATCAAACTTTTGTTTGCTTGTACTTGTCAAATTAGATAATGTGGGAAGTGAATAAAGAGAGGCTGGGAGAATTCCTTGAGGAGTTGCAGAGGAAAGAGGACACAAATGACAGCTATGTTGCTGCTCTGAGAGGGGAAACGTTGATTAGAAACCCATATGTGAGAATGCAACCTTTCCCGGAGCAAAGCACAGCTAAAGTTAGCAAGGAACAAGAGTAGATAATGAGACTACTTTTGGCAGATTTTTGTACCCAGAACTTTTTTCTACTTTTCTCCTTTTTCACTACCATTGTAGAGCACTATTATGTGTGTCTAACGGTGGCTTCTGGTTTACTGGTTCTTTATTACAATGGGATCGCCAAAACTGAAGCTTAGCTTGTATACAATTGTACTTTATAAAAAGGACAAATATTAAGTGGTATAAGGATAGATATTATAAAAAGGACAAATATTAGCTTTGTTATAGCTTCAGAATTTAGCTTTAGTTAGTTTATGTAAGCTAAGAAAGTGTCCCACCGCAGGATGATTATTGATTTTTATATTGTTAGCTAATATTTGTATCCATCCCTTTGTGATTTTCGTACTTTCGCTATATTTGAGTTATATGAATCAGTATTTGAGTTCTTATATGAATCAGGAAGATTTGAAATATGGTCTATTTTCTGCATTAAAAGCTCAAAATTATATTAATATAAATATTTTCACTATTTTGAGAGCATATCCATTTTTGATTAAGTATAAATCATTTTATTAAATTGGGCATGTTCATCTCTTTTTTCCACCGCGCATAGCGCGGTTTATGCCTCCTAGTACTAGTGAATAGCCAACAAGCAGCTGCAATTTTCTTCTTCACATTTGATGTCCAATTGCCAGAACAAGGTGGTGGAAGTTTACATTATTGCTAGTTTGAAGACGACGGAAATGCTATAATCTTCTGGCCCTTGAAAGACTTCCCATATCCTTGGCCTTCTGGCGGAGAACAATTTTCTGTATTTTTCCTGTCGAAGTTTTTGGCAATTCCTCAAAAACAACAGTTCGTGGAGCCATGTAATGTGACAAACGATCACGGCAATACTTGATAATTTCGTCTGCACTTGCATTACAACCATCCTTCAAATGGACAAATGCACAAGGTGTTTCACCCCAATAATCATCTGGTCTTCCAACAACTGCAGCTTCCAGAACTGCTAGATGGCTATAAATCACTGATTCCACCTCAATCGAGCTAATATTCTCCCCTCCTGAGATGATAATGTCTTTGGATCAATCTTTTAATTCTACGTATCCATCAGGGTGTTTCACCCCCACGTCCCCACTTCGAAACCATCCACCTTTAAAGGCATCAGCTGTTGCTTCACTATCCTTAAAGTATCCATTCATGACGGTGTTGCCTCTGAACATCACGGCACCCCTTGTTTTTGTGTCCGGTGGTATGCTTTGCATTGTTTCCGGATCTTTGATATCGAGTTCTTCCATGCCAAGGTGGTGCAACCCTTGACGAGCCTTGATCTTGGCCTGTGCATCACGTGGTAGTGAATTCCACTCTGGTTTCCAAGTGCAAACTGTTCCAGCTCCTCCATCTTAAAAAGAACATGAGGAGGAGGGGAGGCAGCGCTTGCCATCACTATCACTTTTCCTGGAAGCAGTCTCCGATCAACAGACGGTGCATTTATTATCATATTTAAAACTGTAGGTGCACCACCCATATGTCTCACTTGGTGCTTAGCTATGCACTCAAAAATCCCTTTTGCAGTTACATTTCTTAGACAAACATTTGTGCCGCCCTGTGCTACAACGGCCCAAGTAAGGAACATCGGAGCAGTCGACAAATAAACAGGCATGGATGGCATTTCGTTTAAAAGAACAGCAGCCAGAGAATTGAGGTAGGCTCCTCTGTGATTGTAGACAACACCTTTGGGGCTTGATGTTGTGCCTGAAGTGTAATTCAGAGAAATAGGATCCTACTCATCATGTGGCCTTATAACCTCAAAGTCTGGTCTTCCTGATGCCAAGAAAGATTCGTACTCTAAATTGTCTTTATTGAAATACATGTCACTAACCCTGGAAGATGAGTTCCCTTGGTCAGGAATCACAACTAATTTAGGCATCTTGCTGCTTGTCTTTAGTAGAATTCCTAATGCCCCTTTTGCAATATGATAATCAACAAAAATGACTTTTGCACCCGAGTGTTTTAGCAATGTCAACACCATTGCTGAATCATGACGTATATTGAGAGTACAGAGAACTGCTCCTGCCATTGGAACTCCAAAGTGCAGCTCGTAGATTGCAGGAGTATTTGGGGCCAGGACAGCGACCTACACATGTAATCAGAAGCTTAAATGCAAGGTAAATCTGAAAGAGACAACTTAGTGGTTTAGACAAGAGAACACAGCCTTCTGTTGCATATGCACACAAACTGTTTGACTTGTAATCCATGGAATCCACGGAAATCGATGAAAGGAAAGAAAAGTTTTAATGTTCTGGGGTAGTTCATGTTTTCAGCTATACTTGACGAGTTCTAGTGTGCTCTGTGTATAACTTGACAATATTTTAGGGAGAAAATGTGGAGGAGTCCATTCAATAGGCCATGGACAAGTTGGATTCAAAGTTTCAAACTTTTCATAAAGCTCAAGCTAATTCAGTGTACCTATATCTTAGAAAACTCAACCTTATTTCAAATTTAATACTGCAGCATGTGACAAGACTTGATTTAGAAGATCTTCTAGGCACTGAATGTTCTATATCAAAACGCTTGCTTCTAGACTCATCATTAACCAGAAGAAGTATTATTTCCAGCTCATCAAGTCCTCTATCAGAAATATCATTAACCAGCAGATGGAATTTCTGATATACTTGTCAAGAAAGGAACCTCATCATTATACCATAACTGAACAGCAAGACATAGCAAGACTGCAGGATTAAAACAACTTTGCCAAAATATTCCAATGGTTAAAGCACACAGATATTAGCACCCGAGATGCTTCCAAGATGCTTTCAAACTTGAAAAAGCACCTGAAATTCCGATATCAAGATTAGACCTATTTGTAGCTTACGTTTCCACAAACTCTGTCACCGAGAAACCAAAATTGACCACAAATGTACAATTCCATAAGGTTAGCAATTTCGGGAATGGGGCAGCTGCAATTAGCACTAGGTGCGGTTGTTTTACATTTTTAATGATTTAGTGTACACTTACATAATTTTGATGTATTTCATGATTTGATGCACATTTATGTAACTTTTTATTGTGCTAGTAATAGTTCACACACTTTGCATGTAGTTATATTAACCTAAATATAACATCTCTTATATATAATCTTTTGTTGTGAAATTTGATTGTTTAAATGATAATAGAATATTTTCTATTTCTTTAATTAATTATTTTTACAAAGACTATCTAAATATGAACTCTTTGATCCATTGATTTTTGAATTTATTTTGAGCTTTTTGGTAATTATGGATTCAATTTTGATAAACAATTCTTAATATGGTTATGTTGTGTACTCAGAATATTTTTACCACTAAATCATAATAATATTTTTTAATATTGTACAAAAGATAACAAGAAATGCATGTATACATATCAAGTGTGAGCCTAGTAAATAAAATTCACAATTATTAGCAAAGTAAAGATTAAAACCGTAAAATCAATTTCTGGAAGTGTATCAGAGTAAATAAATTGGCTTGTTAGATTTTGTCAATCTAATTATTTTCACCAAACTCATCCCTTCTTTTACCTCTTGGAAAGTTCATTTACTAGCCAGAATCTAGATGCGCCTTTTTTCACTAAAAAATAAAACCCATAGTTAAGTTTCTAATGAAATCAACAAATTTAAAAAATGAAAAAAATTTGTATCAACATTTTGAATGCTATTTGCCATAACATTTTGAATGTTATTTTTTCCTTGGTAAGACAAACAAAATGCAATTGTACAATTAGAATGAATTAATTATTTAAAAATAAAATATATGAGCTGTGCTTATGCCCAACTTTGCATGAACATTTAATTATTCTACTTTATATCTTTTAGCTGAACTTTTCAATTTTTTCTTTTGTGAATTTGAATTGAATAATGTGAGGTGCATTATTGAATTTGGATTGTTTACATTTTTTTAAAGCATTATTGAGTTTAGTAAAGAATGTAAATGATTTATATTGCTTACTTATCTTAAACTGTCTATTTAATTGCCAATGGACATTGAATTGATAGAAATAATTGGATTCTTTTATTTTTTCTTTTCTTTTAGTATTTCTTCATACTGATAAAAAGCCCATAATTATACATCTGTCTTGTGGTATTCATATCAAGATTCTCCAAATGAATATAGACTCTTTTCTTCTTATATATTTCTCTTTTGCTCCAAGAGCATTTTTTTTATACAAATATTTTTTACAAACTTAAAATTGTGGCTAATGCATTCATTCACACTATTTCGAATAAGAAATTATTTTGGCTAAGAAACTTTGACACACATAAGAATTGGAGATGAAGTGTAAGGGTCACTAAATAGTTTTAATAAGGAGTTTTTCATTTTAATTACCATTATTATTGAGATTTAGTTATTTGGAATGTTTCATATTTTAAATTACTACTACAATTAGAATGCAATAATTCTAATTGAAAGATAGAGACAATATGGGCACAATAAAACTAAGATCAAAAAAGTGCATGCAACTTACAATGCCAAGACTTTTTAATATAGTAAAAAATAGATGTTATAAACTACATCAAAATTGCGTGAATGCACATCAAATCATTAAAAAAAAGTAAAACAACCGCACTAATTGCACCTATTGCTAACCATAGCTACCCCAAACCCTGGAATTTCATAGTGACATCTTAAATTGAAGCGGACCACTAAGCAATACAGACCGGAAGGTATGCACCTAATGCAACGCATATCAACTATTAGCAATGTAACAAGGAGATACTTGGATTCTTTGCTTACTATAGATGCTATAATGCTCCAAACACTCAAAAGCTTCTTGATAGATAGGTCAGTGTGTCTTTTACAGGTTTCAAGTAATGTGGTTGCATTAGGTGCCAAATTCCCCTTCCTCCACTATATCTATGTGACCTTTTGTTTCACAAAATAAAAGAGTTATACGAATTTAGAGTTGAGTAGCAGCAATAAATTGCATAATTATACATCGAACTACTAGAAGTCACTGAATTGGTCCCTTGTAATCAAATGAAAGAAATCCTTATGTATTTTTTTTTAGGTATGTCCCGCAGGGAGTGGATCCCGCAGACTATTTACCACCCTCAGCAACTTGCTGGTAGCAAGGTTCGAATTAGGGACCTGAGGTTCCATTTTCAGCAACCTCAACCACCAGAAATCCTTATGTAATTATTGACATTTTATAAAAAAATTTTAACAATAAACAAAATATGATAAATTCAACATCTTTAGTTCTTTTTCCTATTTCAATCATCAATTTCATTATTTATTTCTCTATCACTATGACTCTCTTCATTTCCTTCTAATTTGACACATAATCTACTCCTTCTGTTGATTTTATATTTTCAATTTGCTAATATCCACAAAATTGAAGATAATAA